GCTTACGCGTTTAGTTACACCGCATAGAGACACTCGCTTACGCGTTTAGTTACACCGCATAGAGACACTCGCTTACGCGTTTAGTTACACCGCATAGAGACACTCGCTTACGCGTTTAGTTACACCGCATAGAGACACTCGCTTACGCGTTTAGTTACACCGCATAGAGACACTCGCTTACGCGTTTAGTTACACCGCATAGAGACACTCGCTTACGCGTTTAGTTACACCGCATAGAGACACTCGCTTACGCGTTTAGTTACACCGCATAGAGACACTCGCTTACGCGTTTAGTTACACCGCATAGAGACACTCGCTTACGCGTTTAGTTACACCGCATAGAGACACTCGCTTACGCGTTTAGTTACACCGCATAGAGACACTCGCTTACGCGTTTAGTTACACCGCATAGAGACACTCGCTTACGCGTTTAGTTACACCGCATAGAGACACTCGCTTACGCGTTTAGTTACACCGCATAGAGACACTCGCTTACGCGTTTAGTTACACCGCATAGAGACACTCGCTTACGCGTTTAGTTACACCGCATAGAGACACTCGCTTACGCGTTTAGTTACACCGCATAGAGACACTCGCTTACGCGTTTAGTTACACCGCATAGAGACACTCGCTTACGCGTTTAGTTACACCGCATAGAGACACTCGCTTACGCGTTTAGTTACACCGCATAGAGACACTCGCTTACGCGTTTAGTTACACCGCATAGAGACACTCGCTTACGCGTTTAGTTACACCGCATAGAGACACTCGCTTACGCGTTTAGTTACACCGCATAGAGACACTCGCTTACGCGTTTAGTTACACCGCATAGAGACACTCGCTTACGCGTTTAGTTACACCGCATAGAGACACTCGCTTACGCGTTTAGTTACACCGCATAGAGACACTCGCTTACGCGTTTAGTTACACCGCATAGAGACACTCGCTTACGCGTTTAGTTACACCGCATAGAGACACTCGCTTACGCGTTTAGTTACACCGCATAGAGACACTCGCTTACGCGTTTAGTTACACCGCATAGAGACACTCGCTTACGCGTTTAGTTACACCGCATAGAGACACTCGCTTACGCGTTTAGTTACACCGCATAGAGACACTCGCTTACGCGTTTAGTTACACCGCATAGAGACACTCGCTTACGCGTTTAGTTACACCGCATAGAGACACTCGCTTACGCGTTTAGTTACACCGCATAGAGACACTCGCTTACGCGTTTAGTTACACCGCATAGAGACACTCGCTTACGCGTTTAGTTACACCGCATAGAGACACTCGCTTACGCGTTTAGTTACACCGCATAGAGACACTCGCTTAGGAGTTGTGACGTGACGTTTTTGGGACGTCTGTCACAAGGGTCGAATGACCCGATCGGGGGCGGTTGTTCGGGGGCCTGCGTCCTCTTTATTTAGGGAGAGAGCGGACCAATCGTCGGACCGACGAGATCCGACTTTTGGTAGTAATCTTTATCGAAACTGTAAGCTCGAAATGAGCCCGCGAAATGGTTGTCGGCGCAAGGTCGAGCGGGGGGATCCCATCCGGCAGAGAGGAAGGGAGAAGGAAGAGGAGCGGCCGAGAGCGGGAGTCCGAGACTTTCAAGGAGCGAGAGACGTCAGGTCGTAGTTTTTTTATTAACTACATTCTTGGTGGCTAACACACATCGCTGCCGATAATTTTGTATTATTACGACAGGAACAGAGGCGAAGGGCCGGAAGGACCCGGCCGATAGATAATAAACGCGCAATCATGGAAATAATACAGCAACAAGCCTTAGAAAATTTCCAAATAGGATTGCAAGACGAAATTAAAACAATTGTTCGATCGCGAGGATATGCTACGTTGCAAGAAGCAATAGCAGCGGCCAGCGCGGAAGAAAAGGTTAAAGGACCGTCCGCGACCGGCACGCGAAGCAAAATCAATTTTACACCGACCTATAAACAGGAAAATCAAACGAATGTAAAATGTCAAAAATGCGGAAAAACCGGGCATTACGGTCGAGATTGTCGAACTAGCCGATACGCGAATCGATTTTCATTGCCGAAACCCGATAGACAACCCCGCGTAAATACGATAAATAAATATTGCAATTATTGCAAAAAATCCGGACACGATCGCGAAGAATGTTGGTTATTACACGGACGACCCAATAGAGATCAATCGAGCCGAACCAAACAATATAATTCGCGACCGGAAAATAAAAACCGCAAGAATAGCGAGCAAGGAAAAAAGAAATTTAACTCCGCGCAAAGTAGCGATGAGGAGGAAAGGAACGAAAGAAAATCGCACCGACCTGCAATTGAATATCAAGTATCACACTTTAAAAATACGCCGCATATACAGACAGGATTGGACCTTGTCACATTACCAATGCGAGAAGCGAAACGCGAAAAAATAAATTTGCTATTCGATACAGGAGCCGCAATATCACTAATTAAAGTGAAACATTTAAAAGGCGAAACGTTAATAAAAGAAGAAAAGATAACGCTCACCGGCGTAACGGGACATAAAATATGTACAATTGGAAAATTTAAGGCGACAATAACTCTGGAAAAGCGCCGAATCAAGCATACTATGTACGTTGTTAAGGATGACTTTCCGATAGAATATGACGGAATACTAGGCGTTGATTTCCTACGAAAACATCAAGCCACTTGCAATTATAAAACAAAGCAATTAAAGGTAGGACAGCATATCTTAAAGCTTTATCCCTATCTAAAAGTGACATTGAAACCACGTAGCGAAACTATAATACAGGTCGCTACTGATAAGAACACGATAGGCGTGATAAAGGCAGAAGAAACAATACCAGGAATATTTATAGGTAATTGCCTAGTAGAACCTACGAATTACATATGTGCAGCAAGCATTCTAAATACAACGGATAACATAATCGAAATGTTAATGCCGCAAGTAAGTGTAGAGGAAATCGAACGAAGTGAAACAGAAGAAATTAACGTAATACGAACGCCAAATAAAGAGGAAGTAATCCCGCGTAGTGAAAAAGTATTACGATTATTACGTACACAACATTTAAAATATAAGACAGAAAAGAAAAAACTACCAGAAACTAATATAAATCCGATGTGCAAACCGAAAATAATTCAAGAGCATATTTACGGCACCGCAAGCGGATCGAATAGAACAGCTGAGATAGAAACTGACACCGCGATAACTAACACTGCGATGCTATATTGAAATAAGGTAGATATAAGAAACAATTGTAAAATGCGAAAATGTATAGCGAAAAAGTATGTAGACGAAAATTCACGTATAGTTAATTTTCTTTTTCCAAAGGGGGAGGGATGTCGTAACCCGACCAATTTCTCAATATATTAAAAGATAAAACAATAAAGTTAAACAGAAAAGATTAAGAAAGAGCTGAGTAAAGCAATGCATTAAAATTAGAAAAGAGATCAAGGAAAGATAATTAAGAAAGAATAAAAGTAATAAAAGATTATTAATAAAATAAAGTAAAGATACGTGACTAAAGAGAAGGAAGTTACGGTCAAGTTCTCGGAAGCTGAGTAAGCAGCTGACTAGACAGCTGACGAGCGGAGCACGAGACATGCTCCGGTCAGGGACACCACATTCCTCCCTAATCAACGACCTAATTAATTAATATATATTGAGCGCGAGATGCACCGAGGCTAGCTCAGTAATATAGCTCATTAACATCGCTCGCTACTCGTTCACTCGCTCGCTCATATCAACAGTATCGATATACCGTACATCGCGCCTGACTATTATAATCGCGAATAAGTAAAAGTGTACCAAAACCTGTGAAATATATTAATTTATACCTAACGTCCGGGAGTGTCTTATTTCGAGCGTGGATCCTAATCCTTTGGGCGTATAAATCCCTAAAGACCTCTTCCTTATTAGACGTCCTAAGTTAGGTCTCATGAGACCTGAAAATGACGTCGATTGGTCACATCCACGGTACGTCATTTTCTGACGTTTATTTGACGGCAAAACTGAGATCACAATGACAATAATAATGTATAATAACACATATTAATGTGATATATATTATTGGTAAATTTAAATAATCTAGTTTATAAAATTAAAGATTTTATTTATATGAAAGTTAATTTCTGTTTTATATTTTAAACAGATAATAACGAACGATTTTCACTGATTTGGACAGAAATTGTCCGAATAAATTAAAATCAGACATTATCTATCCGATTTTTCAAAAATCAGTTCAGTATCTGAATTTCCCGGTACGGGAATCGCATCAGAAGTTGAACTGATAAAAATAATTACAATATTATTAACTGCATTTTGCACGCTTTATATACGCTCATGACAAAAATTTGAATACGGGTATAGATAGTGAATAACGCGCCGCATAACGGTAAGCAAATGAATTATAATCTTAAAACTAGTTACAAAAAGACTTTATTTAGATGACCATAGGACGTCTTCAAAATGACGTTCTTGGCTAGTCTAAAAAATGACGTCTTTTAAATATCAATTATTAGTCGCCGACGTTATAGACCAAAAATAGACGTCATTATGACAATGTTCCTATGTCTGCCCTAGAAGCCTACTCAGTATATACTGAAAATATTTCTTGGTATATTATAAGTATATTAATAAAATATTTTGAGCGCGTTACCAGTGTCTACTCGAAATATCTCTTGGTATATTATCAGTATATTTGTAGAATATTTTAAGCATATTATTAATAAATTATATATGGATATATATAGAAGATAGAAATTTGTTGGAATATATAGGTGTAAGATAAAAAAATAGATTCTTCATGTAAAAAATAAATAAAAATGTAGTTATTTAGTTTATAAACAAAGCTTTAGACAAAAAATGTTATTTCACACTTTGTATTTATTTTTATATGAAGTTCCTACTTTTTGATAAAAAAAGTTTCTCTCTCGTTTTTATTGATTGCACATATATTTTATATACATATAATATACATATGCTAAGAAATTTTCTTTATAAAATATTATTTAATATATTATAATATACTATATTCTCTGCATTGCACGCAGTAAATATCAACGAAATTCATATATTGATAACTTGAACTTTAGGAACTATCAAAACATATTTTATCCATCAAATATCACTTTTTTCTTTAGCAGCACGTTCTTTTGCATGGGCCAACCATATTTTTATTGGAGATGATATTTGATCATCTGTTGCATCTGCATGGGAGTTTCTTATCACACCTGAAACATATTAATTTTTAAACATTAATAATTTGTTAATATTAATTTTCAAAGTAATTTGTTTAAATTTAAATCAATTATAAAATGTAAGAACAAATTTGTTTTAATGTCAATATAAAAATTGCTTAGAATACCAATATTTATAAAAAAAATGTCTCTAAATTCAATAAGTAAATTGCTATAAATATATTTATAAATGTATATATTTTGTATATAAAATTATGCCGTTAAATAATTCAAAATTGCAATTCTGAATTTATTTTACTTACACATAATTACTTTACATAACTGTAAGTTTGAGAAGATATTTTTCTTCTTTGCTCCATACCAACTGTATTTCATTGCCAACTGGTTTGTAAAAATCTGCCTCATAAGTCGAATGCACGAAGTTTTCGTATCTTGGCTTACACGTTGGGCCAATTGTTTATTCTAAAATATAATTACACAGTTAATATCAGTTGAATATTTTGCCTAGCATCATTTATTGACTTAGTTCTACTTTAAAAAGCTTTCTAATGATGTTACAAAATGAAGATATACTTTGATGAAAACTCAAATCTTGAGATCAGAAATGCAATAGAAAATTATTATGGAAGAAAACTTTAAATACAAATAAACTTTTACATAAGAAAATGGTAATATGATAGTCTTAAAGTAATATGCGTCTTTAGAATATTTGTTATAAAGTTATCTTGCACATTAATATTTATCTATCTATATTATATATTATTTTTTAACGTTGCAAACATTTACATTCACTATATTATCCAGTTGTTTTATAATATTATTGAATCACAATTATTTCATTACTCAATTACATAAACTTATTCCATGTAGAACATCAGAGATATAACTAAAATTATTCTATATTTAAAATTATTTTATAAAAAGACAGGGATATAACTCACCATATATTTTCTATAAGTTGAGTCGTTGTTTAATTTTGTTTCTATCGCTTCAAGTTCATTTTCATTTTTGAGTGATAGATTTTGGAAAATGTCGACTTCTTTTTCTTCTGAATCCAAGATACCAACTGACTGTTTCTGTACAATAACCTTTTGATATCTTTGGATTATATTCATTTTCATCTCCAAGGTTATCAGTTTTCTAATAACAAATCGGCGAAAATTTTCACTTTCTGTAAATTAATGAAAATATTGTAGTTATGCTTATAAAAACATATAAATAAAATACGAATTTTACACAATTATAAAAATTCACAATACGAAGAAAATGTTGTTGTGCCTCTAGCCGCTAAGGAAGAGGTCTTTAGGGATTTATACGCCCAAAGGATTAGGATCCACGCTCGAAATAAGACACTCCCGGACGTTAGGTATAAATTGATATATTTCACAGATTCTTGTACACTTTCACTTAGTCGCGATTATAATAGTCGGGCGCGATACGTACGGTACTTCGATACTATCGATATATGCGAGCGAGTAGTGAGCGAGTAGCGAGCGTCGGTGCATCTCGCGCTTATTATATATCTTAATTAATTAAGTCGTTAATTAGGGAGGAGTGTGGTGTCCCTGACCGGAGCATGTCTCGTGCTCCGCTCGTCAGCTGCTTACTCAGCTTCCGAGAACTTGACCGTGACTTCCTTCTCTTTAGTCACGTATCTTACTTTTATTTTATTAATAATCTTTTATTACTTATTTACTCTTTCTTAATTATCTTTCCTTGATCTCTTTTCTAATATTTTAATGCTTTGCTTTACTCTTTCTTAATTTTTTCTGTTTTACTTTATTGTTTTATCTTTTAATATATTCCCATCACAAGGTTATATTTTTTGTTCGTATAAATATATTTATATATATATGTGGCTATGTGTGTTAATGAGGGAGTATTTTGTTTGTATATATATATATATATATATATATAGAGTTTTCCTTTAAAGGGAGCAGGAAGGTGAAGAAAGTCAGGGGAGTGAGGAAAGAGAAAAGAAAAGAGGAGATAAATTTCCTTTCTTCAAGCCGCTTTATTCTCTGAGTTGCAATGTGTAGGTAGTAGCTTCTCTAGCGGGGAGAGAAGGATAGGTTCCGTCCGACTCTCTTTTAATTTCGGTATAAACGGCCTGATTCTGACAGTCAGAAATCGGAGCTGTAGGCTCTCGACCTGGCGGCTGGCGCCTTACTCTCAAATGCAGTAATAGTTGAGTAAGAGAATCCCATACGGCTGCCAGTAAGTATATGGACCATCCATATACTGTATGTAGAGCATATCCGTGCACTATTGTTTCCAGTAATAATTTGAAAATTCTTATGCCTAGATATATTCCCATTATTCCGGCGCATCGTAGACACGTAAGTTAATATATATTGCATTATATTAAATGATTATATACGATTAATGTTAATGTTATGATACAAAATGTTAAACATATGGGAAACATATGATTTTCATGAACATATTTTGATTCTTTAGATTATTTTGCATATAAAAATATTGATTACTACTTTTTAAGTAAGTATTTAATACTTTTATGCGCAGAATAACCTAACGAATTGTTATTTGTGCTTGAATAATAATTGTTTTTCGAAACCAGTTAATCTGTGTTTGAAACATTTATCGATGTCATTAATAATCTATTAAAAATGAGAAAATATATGCGATAGAAATCATATTTATTAATGATATTATTTGATTAATAATAAAGCATCTTAACAATTGATAAAAATAGTTTGGGTTAGGAATACATTACATAGTGATAACGTTTATGTAATAACATTTAAAATCATAAACCACAATTGTCTACGAGTATCAGTATATTTATGTAATATCTTATGTTGCAGCGCTTCTTAGGGTTCTTATTCTTCAGACCGCTTCAGAATTTGATCAAAGGTGCATTGTAGACACGTAAGTTAATACATATTGCATTATATTAAACGATTAATGTTATTACGATATAAAATGATAAACATATGGGGAACATATATGATTTTCTTGAACACATTTTAATTGTTTAGATTATATTACATATAAAAATATTGATTACTACTTTTTAAGTGAGTATTTAATACTTTTATGCGCAGAATAACCTAACGAATTGTTATTTGTGCTTGAATAATAATTGTTTTTCGAAACCAGTTAATCTGTGTTTGAAACATTTATCGATGTCATTAATAATCTATTAAAAATGAGAAAATATATGCGATAGAAATCATATTTATTAATGATATTATTTGATTAATAATAAAGCATCTTAACAATTGATAAAAATAGTTTGGGTTAGGAATACATTACATAGTGATAACGTTTATGTAATAACATTTAAAATCATAAACCACAATTGTCTACGAGTATCAGTATATTTATGTAATATCTTATGTTGCAGCGCTTCTTAGGGTTCTTATTCTTCAGACCGCTTCAGAATTTGATCAAAGGTGCATTGTAGACACGTAAGTTAATACATATTGCATTATATTAAACGATTAATGTTATTACGATATAAAATGATAAACATATGGGGAACATATATGATTTTCTTGAACACATTTTAATTGTTTAGATTATATTACATATAAAAATATTGATTACTACTTTTTAAGTGAGTATTTAATACTTTTATGCGCAGAATAACCTAACGAATTGTTATTTGTGCTTGAATAATAATTGTTTTTCGAAACCAGTTAATCTGTGTTTGAAACATTTATCGATGTCATTAATAATCTATTAAAAATGAGAAAATATATGCGATAGACATCATATTTATTAATGATATTATTTGATTAATAATAAAGCATCTTAACAATTGATAAAAATAGTTTGGGTTAGGAATACATTACATAGTGATAACGTTTATGTAATAACATTTAAAATCATAAACCACAATTGTCTACGAGTATCAGTATATTTATGTAATATCTTATGTTGCAGCGCTTCTTAGGGTTCTTATTCTTCAGACCGCTTCAGAATTTGATCAAAGGTGCATTGTAGACACGTAAGTTAATACATATTGCATTATATTAAACGATTAATGTTATTACGATATAAAATGATAAACATATGGGGAACATATATGATTTTCTTGAACACATTTTAATTGTTTAGATTATATTACATATAAAAATATTGATTACTACTTTTTAAGTGAGTATTTAATACTTTTATGCGCAGAATAACCTAACGAATTGTTATTTGTGCTTGAATAATAATTTAAAAAAATATATTATTTAGAGAATACTTTAAAAATATTATTTAAAATTAACTTTCTATAACACCATGTAACTTTAAAGTAGCATACTCGTATATCTGTATTTTTAAAGTTTTATTTAATTTTTTCACCACAACTTAGCGCAATCTTGTTTCAAGTTACAAACCGTTTTATTTTAATGAAGAGTTAAAAAATTGTAAATTAATTATTAGTTTTATCCGAAGATTAATGTTTGCTAGTTTTATGTTATATAATTCTTTCTTAGATACGAAAAAGAATTTGAGTTATAGAAGGTCAAGTTTTTTTGTAACTTCAACATTAATTTTTCAATGTCAATACTTTAATATTATGTAATAGTACTCTACAAAATTTATTATTTTATATCGTAACATTTAACATCTTTTAAATATATGCTTAGAATTGTCTTTATGTATATATATGTGTGTGTGTGTGTGTGTATGTGTATAGGTCTTAAAATACTTCATTGGAAAGTTATTGCAAAAATTAGAGTTTTGTATTGAATAAATAATAATTTTGCCATAAATAAGTGACACACCGATTATCTCATCCTTTTTATAGTCATATTTACTATTTGAAATTAAAATGATTGCATGATTGAATGATCGTGAAAATTTGTATGAATACTGGTAGCGAGCATTATCATGTAGAACATTGTCCCAAAAAGTGAAAGTTTGTATACAGCTGCAGAGATAAAGCAAAATTGGCACGAAATTTCTAGAGTGATAAATCCAATATTACATCGATGTATAGCTTGTATTGACAGGGGTGGACGGCACTTTGAAATGCAAACTTAAATAAAATTGTTTTTTATTACATATTTTGTATTTTGGCCATAACTTTCTAATAAATCATTTTGAAGACCTATGTTTATGTAACATTTTTTTTCTGCTCATATAACATTACTAAAGTTTATACGGAAAAATTTGAAACACCTTACGTAATGCAATGTATTCTGCATTTTTATTCTATTTATTCTATGAAGTACCTTTTAAAAAAACGAAAAATCAGAGTAAAATCTATAGAATTTTGTTCTAGTGTCATATTCATTATATTTTAGGAAATCTGCATGAATTTCCTACACATAAAAAGACTTTAGTAACAGTATTGAATTCTGTACATAAAAGTGTTACGGTAAAATTATCGAAAACTAAATATTTTACGAGATATTTTATTTTTTATATCAAAATATGTCAGATTAAAATATAAAATAACTCAAAAAGTACTTAATGAAAAAATACTTTATTATAGTGTTTTGAAAAGCTCTCGAGATAAGCTACAAGAATATGCAATAAATAATGGGGGGTTCCATTTAAGAAAACATCGATCACATTGACTTGGCCTTGAAAAGGTTCAAGGTCAAGTCCATATTTTCATCATGTGTCCCCCTGTGAATCATACAACTTTTGTCTAAAACTTTTTTGTCTTAAACTTATAGATTTTAGGATATTTCAGTGGATACGTTAAAATGGCCTACCCTGTATATACACTTGCATACTAAATTTAAGTTACAAAAGAGAGAGATCGAAACGAAACTTATGTACTATAATTTTAAGTTACTCACCATTTATATCTCACACATAACATTCATAACTGCATAAACATAACATGTAAACAACCTCGTACTACTTACAAATAAACTGCTTATATTTCATACACTTTAATTACATTCACACCACTACCTCTCCCCGCACTACACAATATATATATATATATCAGGAAAAAAGGAGAAACAAAGGAAAACAAAAAAAATAATAATAAAAAGACATAGGGAGATCATTAATATTAGCATATCTTAGCGTCTATCATTTAGTAATGATAATAACAAAAATTATCCTATAAAAAAAACAGGGGAAAAACTATTAGAATTAAGCAATACCTTAATATACGCCCTAAGGAAACCTTTAAGCTACATGCTTCCGCTTATAAAATAGAAAATAAAAACATATCTGTTAATCAGCGATTACTCATTATAGACAATGGAAATCAAATCAATCGACAACAGACAACTAGCTCGCGAACGTCTAGCAGTAAAAATCACACATGTGGAATCACCGTTACTTTTCTGGGTGCGGCTTAGAGATAACGAAAGAGACTTGGAAAATTTAGAAGATTTCAACTTTTGGATGACAGGACGCGTCATCTTGCCTCTCGAATCGCAAGAGATAAAACGGAGAAAAGCGGTCGCTGTTAAAGATGATGGATTCTGGCACAGAGGATTGATAACTAAAATTAAAGGAACAAGAGACATGGTTGAAGTCTCTCTTAAAGACATCGGTACGAAAATTATTCTGCCGATACATGAAATTTACAAGCTAGAAAATGAATTGAAGGAACTGCCGTGGCAAACAATTGCATGTGGCTTGCCTTATACGAGCTGCATAACCCCTACCTCAATATGGCCTAGCGACACGAGAGAATTTTGCCGGTTCATGGCAGAAGAACACAAAGGGTGGATAAAGATAGTACAGCTTTTTTGGGAAGGGGCTGCCTTAGTAAAACTGCAAATACGAGTAGATAGTTTTTATGGATCTTATGATTTCAAGAATGCATTGATTCGGTTCGGTCTTGCCCAGCAAAACACAAAAAAGATCGAGTATGTGTTTCCCTGCGTATAAAAACAAAGGAGAACATGTGCACATATGGACGTGCAGATCTACCCTACCCTGAATGACATTATAAAAAAGGCTTATTTTTAATCATACATTATATTTTTGTATTCTTCGCTATTAACACTATTTACTCTTGTGTTATCAAAATCTATATATATATATGTATACACATATAGATCAACGTGTAATATCCTTACTAACATTATCCATTAGAATAATTATTAATTATAAGGAGAAAATAGAAACATTTTCCTTTTATTCTGTTGTATTATCGATAATTATCGATTACAGTAAAATGCCAGCGTACCATTGCCTCATGCTGACCAACCGAAATCCAAGAAGAAGAACACCGCGAGGCACCTGACGGTGTACGACCACAAGACCATCCCGAAACCTACGGATACCTGATGGAACT